AGTTGGGATTTATTTAGTCCACTTCTACATCCTTCCCTTCAAGGCTCAGGGGTCCAGGATTATCTTCTGTGTCTGTGTTAATTGGTTTCCCTTTTCTTTATTGAAGAGGGTCTGTGCAGTCTTTCTGCCTAGGACTTGCCACCATCTTGCTGGCCACCAAAGGTGTACTCTTTACTAAAATAGACTGCCACATCTTTCTCCCACAGAGCAGTTAGCAGGCAAGTACTTCACCACTGCACCACCAGGGCTCCTAGCATGGCTCAAAGGGCCCTGAAAATGTGACCCTTGCCCACTTACCTCTCCCACTTTATATCCTCTGTCCTGTCACAACAAGGAAATAATTCTGAAGGCTGCACTTTAGTCAAGAAGGCCTCTCACAACAGCCCTGACAAACTACTGAGAAGCACTCCTTCTTAAGACCCAGAGGTTCCATGCCCCTAACCATGTAATTCCTCCTTAGTGCTTAGGTGGCCAGGCCCACAGGTGACAAGGCAGGATAGGCTCAACCCAAGTCAGCCTATATGGCCCCTTCCTCAGGTGTAACAGCCATTACCAACCCAAATGTAAGGCCACTGTAAACAACCTAAATGTCCATCAATTCCCTCCTGTGCTGAGAAGGCTTTGTTCTCAGAGGATCTGCCAATCATTCTTCACCAACCTTCTTTTCCCTTCTCATGCAAGGTACAAGGGCACTCATTATCCTTATCAAAAGAAAAAAGCTCACAGGCATCAAAAAAATGTTGTCCGTAGGTCTCCTTGATATCTGCAGGGACTTCCTCCCAGGCTTGCTTCATTTTCTCTAAAGATTGCTGCAGGTCTGTCATCCCGGTTTTAAAGTAGCCAGGTTCAATTATACTGATTTTCACGCCAAAATGTTGAAGTTCACGCCTGAAACAAAACCCTCCAATTAACTCCTATGATTGCAAGATACCACAATTTCAATGCTTTCAAGCAGGAGGAAAAAAAAAAAAAAAAAAAAGGAGGTTATAAAAACACCTTTAATGAATATTTTTAAAAAAATACAGAGGAGACAAAAAAAAGAAAACTTTAAACATTCCTAGGTACAACAATTGGGACAGGATTTAACAAACTACCATAACCATTCAACCTTGCATTCACTCCTTTAACAAATAATTATTAAGTACCTACCACATAGATACTGGAGGCATGAGGAAAACAAAGAATTTTTTTAATTAGCGTTTATTAGAACAAGCACTGTCCTAAGTGTTTTATATGCACAATCTCAGAAGATTAAGATTTGGTTCCCCTAAACACAAAATCATAAAAAACTTACTGGTGTGATAGAGATTGGTCACCCTTAGTCACTGTAATAGTTAAGTTTGTGTGTCAACTTGGCTGGGCCTGGTTGAGTGGCTGGGCAGCTGGATGTAGTTATTCCCCATGGTGAGATTGGTAATTAACTCCATGGTGGACTCTATTGGAGCAGCTGAGTAGCTGTTATGGGTATGTGGTCTGCTGGGCCCATATATAAGAAATAGCTTTGAGAATGGTCTCTAGCTTATGGCATGCCTGAACCTTCCATGTAGCCATGTCATTGTTCAGCAGCCTGCCATGCTCTGCCGATCTTGGGACTTTTAATGGACTTGACTTGATGGTCTGCGTGTGGTTTGGTAATATCAGGACTGTGCCTTTTTACTTGTCAACCTTGGGCTTGTCAGCCTCAGCAGGAGCAGCTGAGTAAAGAAAAGCCTCCAGCTTCAGTGGGCCAGGAGCAGGAAGCAGAGCTGAAGCCCAAAGTTGAGAGGCTTTCACCCATCCCGAGTTCTAGGCTGGCGCTCTGAACTCGGAATTAAGGCCTCCAAATTGTAAGAATAAACTCCTGTTTGTTAAAGCCATCCCATTTGTGGTACATTCTTGTCAGACCAGCACTAAGTAACCAAAACTGGTCTGACAAGAAACTGAACTCATCCCAGCAGCTTAACTTTCAGCCAAGCAACAGACAGGCCTACAAGGTGATTAGTAACACTAAAGGAGTATACATTTCTCAGAACAATCAGCCACATGAGCTCAAAAGAGCAGCTTTTGCTCAGGGATAAAACTCAGAAGGCAAGAAGGGATAAGAAAAGATAAATTACAATGGTAACCACAGGGAGGAAGTAGGAAGAGTCATGCTACATTGTAGGGATTGCAATCACTGTCACAAAACAAAATGTGTATGAACTGTTGAATGGAAAACTAATTTGCTTTAAAAACTTTCACTCAAATCTCATACATAAAAGTTTTTTTTAAAAAAAGAAAGAAATAGAACATCGGTGGCACCCTTGAAGCCACTTGAATGCCATTTCCCAATGGCAACTCCACTCATTTCCATATAGGTAGCCAATATCCAAACTGTAATCTTGATTTTCTTTACATTTTTACTCCCTAAATTTGCATCCATAAACACTATAAAGTAATCTAGTTTGCTTATTTTTGAATTTCATAAAAGTGTTATCAGTAGAAAAAAACACTTGGTTCTCCACCTCCAAAAGCTCACAGTGGATGAGTCTGACAAGTAAACAAATAACTGCAACACAACTTGAAAGTATTATAAAAGAGAGGTATCCAAGAGGCTATGGAAGTGGACAGAAAGATGCAGTCAGATTTTCTGAGGGTGTGAGGGAAGGCTTCAGTGAGGAGAAAACACTGAACATTTCATTGAACCTTGAAAGACAAGCAGTAAATTTCCAAGTAAAGACAGGGAAGAATGGCACACAGGCAGCAGGAAATGCACACAAAGGCCTGTGAAAATTACAATGTGCTCAAAGACTGTGAGATGCCATTAGTAGAATATGCTGGGGGCATTAAAATTACAAGTCATTGGTCATTCCAGAATATTCAGGTCAGTTCAACAAACAGTTCCATCAATGCTTATGGGGAGTTGTGTGTGTGCCAGGTACTGTGTTATCTACACCAAGTGAAGTTAAGATATGGTCCTTGCCCTCAAGGAACTTAGCTTTTGTGTGGAAATAAACAAGTAAAACGATATTGTGCACTACAGTAGAAGTATACCCTGGATGCTCTAGGCACAGTGATGAGGATGCTCCCTAACCTGGGTATTCAGGCAGCTTTGCTGGCAATGAAGCTCAAGCTGATGTCAAAGAGAAACAGATTTGAAATTAAGGTCAGTAAGAAGGCAAAACACAAAGCACCATAACCATCCAAAGCAGTGATTCTCAAAGCAAGGACCTAGATCAGTAGCATCACTCTCATCTGTGAACTTGTTAGAAATGCAAATTATCAGGCTCCAGGCCAGACTTACCAAATCAGCAACTCTGGGAGTGAGACCCAGCAATGTCTTTTAACAAGCCCTCCAAATGATGAGGTATGCCAAAGTCTAAGAGCTACTGTTCCAAGGAAAGGCCTCCCTCATCACACCAAAACCTAAAACTTTCACGGTTTGAGCTTCAGAAAAAGATTCTCCAGATGTCTGTGTATATCAGGGAAAGAGAGAAGTGCTATCCAAGCCAGAAATGACTCTGCTTCCCTGAATGCCACTTCCCCTTGAAGTTTTCTCACTCTAATTCCCACCATATCACAATCTCCATTCTCCTTTAAGAACCAAACCCAAATGTGGGACAAAACTTCCTTTCCCTATTTATCCTTAGCACAACTAAGGCAAACTGGAACTTTCTAAAGGAATTAAATTGTGATTTGAATATCAGAAGGAAATCTCTTTGCTCTTGGCCTGGGAATAAGTTGATGACTCCAACACCAGTCACGGATGGTGGTGGGTGGTGGGAAATCATTGCCAGCAGTCACTTGGAGTAGATAAGAGGTTGGGTGGGCAGGAAGCTAGGTGAGGTGCTTGCCACATGGTAATGACTCATGGCAATTCTCTTGCTTATTTTCCTTTCCCTTCTTAGGCAGATAATGTAAGCATACTGTAATAGAATATACCAGTCATGGTGCCTGCAATATTCACAGCTCATTTCCAAGTGAAACTGCCCCTCATCAGTCCTGCTGAAAGAGTTTGTGTTGCTATATTTTGTACTATGTGAATGCACCCTCTTGTCTACAGCTGATTAGACCAGGGGGGTTCTTGATGGAAGAAGAGATCATCTTAGGGCTAGATGGTGGCTCTGCCCTTTAATAACTATATGACCATGGGAAAATTACTAAACCTCAGTGCCTCAGTGTCCTCAATATGTACAATGATGTCTTCCTCATTAAGTTGTTATGAAAATTACTTACCAAAGTGCCTAACACATATTAAGTGCACAGAAATGTCATGCAAGAGTCAGCTGACCTACACACACAAAAAAAATAATCAACAGATTTCTCTCTCGGGGATCCAATCTAAAAAATATATATAAAAAAGGAAGTAGCTGGTAGAAGGACATGAAGTCCAAATGATGCAAGAAAAAACCAGGAGGTAAAAGCAGCATCATTAGGCATCACAGTAAATTGAAGTTTGCAGAGTAAAGGGAAGGAAGAGGTTAGCTGGAAGCAGATGAACAACCAAAGAGAAAGAAAATCACCACGTAGGGACAATGACAAGGTCACTTTAAGGAGAAAAGAAGGTAAGGCGTTCTCTCTTCAAAAATGAGACCTCATGAAGGATAAATCTTAGAAATTAAAAGTGGGATATGGTGAGAGGAGACAAAACATAGTTTTACACATCCAGGCTGAGACAGGTGAACTTTGCAGAAGAACCTTAACACATTTGAGTCTCAGTTTTCTATGTAAAACAAATTAGTAATAACATCTACATATCAAGATTTGGGGAGTGATGAACTAAGATAATGTAGGTAAAAGTAACTAGCACAATGCCTGAAACATATTCAAGTGCTCAATACTTATTTTTGTTTTAACTTAACAGAGTTACCTCAGAACATCTGAAAAGGCTTCCACTCCATACTTGGAGCTACAGTAGACTCCTCCAAAGAATGCAATTCTTCCCAGGATGCTGGATACATTGACAATCCTTCCCCGTGCCTTTCTAACCAAGGGAAGCATGCTCAAGGTGACTTTGATCAAACCAATTAGATTCACTTCAAGGATATTCACATAGGTCTTAATCTGCAGCCACTCACTGCAGCCAGTCGGGTAAATAATGCCGGCATTGTTGACCAGGCCCCAGAGTCCTAAAAGAATGAAAATCAAATCAAGAGTTCAGTTTCAAACAAAATGGAACACTGTTCACTCTGACCAATCTTCCTGCTGAAAACAACTAAAACTGCTAAACAAAATATATTTTTAATCTTTTAAAATCTATCTGTAAGTTAGTAAGAAAATTAAAACATAGAAAAAGCTGAAGTCAAAAACTAAGGGAAGGCAGGAGACAGAGGGTACATGGAAATTCAAGGAAATCTGCCAACTTGAACTTCAGTAGTTATAGCCTCACAAAGAAGACATTCTCTTTATTAAACTGGGTTCTCAAATAGTTACACTATCAGTCTAAGGGTGAACTACACATAATATCTCCTTCAAAAGGGCTGAAAGTAAAATTGTCTGGCGAGAGATGGCAGCAGCAGAGGCAGCAGAACGAGGAGACGATGAGAAAGCTGAGTGCCTTTGGGTAGGAGGTTTGTTGGTGGAGAGAGTGCCCCCAGGCCTTGGCAGCGCTAAGCCCATTGACCCATGGAAGGAGAGAGCTGAGTGTCTTTGGGAAGGAGCTTGCTGGTGAAGTAGAGTGCCTTTACCTCTACAGGAGGTAAAGAGCTTTTTAACATTTGGCTGAGCATGGCAGAAGCTGAGGGGTTATGGAGTCAAGAGGCTGATGGCCAGGAAGAGGCAGACCTGCAGGCAGATGGTTCATAGAGGCTGAAAGTAGGCCACTGAGGCCTAAATAAAGTAGCATCACCTGTGGCTTCAGCTGCTCCAGACATAGTTATCAATGGTAAGAAAATACAGCAGACTAAAGAGACTGATACTCAATGACTGATCTTGCAAATGATTTTTTCTCTATCCCAATATTGGAAAACAGCCAGCCAGTTTGCTTTCAGATGAGAATTCCAATTTACTTTCACTGTACTGCCACAGAGTTACTTGAATTCACTGAATTACTATTACAGTTTGGTTAGAAGAGATTTGAACTTAGTACAGATCTGAAGTGTAATGATACATGATATTGACAATACTATCAAACACCAAAGAACACCCTAGGGTTGATCTAAATATAGTGGTAGCCCACATGACCAACAGAGGCTGGTTAACAAATCCAGCAAAAATCCAGGCCCTGCCGAAATGGTGAAATTCTTAGAATAACTTGGGCAGGAGCCACCCATGAGATTCTGCAGGCAACCAAGGATAAGGTGCTTTCGCTACATACCCCCAAGACCAAAAAACCAAACTCACTGCCGTCAAGTCGGATCCGACTCATAGCAACCCCTCCTTGGGTTTCCAAGGTGGTATCACTATGGAAGTAGATTGCTCAACCTTCCTTCCAAGGAATGGCTAATGAGTTTGAACTGCCAAGCTTCTGGTTAGCAGTCAAATGCCTTAGGCACTATGCCACCAGAGCTCCTCTAGACTAAGCAGGAACTTGAAAATTTAGATAGTAACTTTAGGGAGCAGTGAATTTATGTTAATGAGGAACAACTCAGAAAAGAGGGTAAGAATGGTTGCATAACTCAAAGAACATAATCAGTGTCATTAAGTGGTACATGTAGAAGCTGTTTAATTGGAATATATTTTCCTGTAAGACATGTCCTACACTGATAATGCCTCATTAACATAAAAAAGAAAGTAAATGAAAAGACTAAGCAGGAAGCCCAATGTTTGTTTGGTCTATTCAGATTTTGGAGAATGCATATTCCACATCTAGGAGAAAACCACCTGGAACAAAATTGCATTCAAATGGGGGCCAGAGCAGGTAGTCTCACTCTCCCTGCCTTTAGGCCTTTACCATCCATTTCAGACATGATCTTGGAGGGTTTGACATACATGTTTATGCATACTAGTCTTATGGCAAAAAACTTGAAATTGTGGCCCTATGGTGACCATTTGGGATGCTGAACTAGAAAGTTTCCAGAGTTGCAGTACAATACACACCATCTGAAAGGCCATTACTCACCTGCTATTGGGCAATGGTTGAGACTGCTTCAATGACAGGACATAAAATCATCATGAGACATACAATACCCATAATATCTTATGTGATGTCAGAGAAACACTCTATTAAGGCAGATGGTGTCCAAAACAGTTTCCTAACAAAATGGAAATATATACATACAAGAACAAGCTACTGGGGAATGCAAGAAGGCACCTACCCTATGCACAAGCAAGAAGCTTTCCCATAGGTTCTACCCTAGAACCACCTGAGAAGCTGCCAGAGTCCACTGCCACGTAGACAGTACCCTATAAACAACTTTCTGCTGACAAGAAGGTGCCTGGTTTACAGATGGCAGTTCTAGGGTACATGGACATTTGATGTGGAAAGCTGCTGCATTAAGACAGGCAGATGGAAAGACTCTAATTGTAGAAGGTAAGAACAGGTAGGTTCAATGGGCTGAGCTACATGCTGTCTTATTAGCCATGATGGAAGAACTGGGCAGTAGCAAGAGCAAGGAAATTATCTTCTCTCAATTAAATTTTATCAGAGGCCAGAGAGGATGAGGCTGAGAGGACTTTTGGAGAATGTGACAAGATCAAATGGATACCTGCAACAGACCTGAATAATTGGTGTTTTGGTTACCTCTAGTGCTTCTCTAATAGAAAATAACACAGGTGGAATGCCTTTAACAAACAGGAGTTTATTCTCTTGTACTTTTGGAGGCCAGAAGTCCAAGTTCAAAGTGCCAACTCCAGGGGCTGGGTGAAAGTCCCTTGACCTTGGGCTGCAGCTCTGCCTCTTGCTCCCAGCCCACTGAAGCTGGAGGTGTCTCTTCACTCAGGCAGCTGCTGGCTGCTGAGGCTGACAAGCCCAAGGTCAACAAATAAAAAATAGTATTACCAAACAACATGGCAAGCCACTAGTTCAAGTCCAGAGACAGTTCAAAGACTGGCAGGAAACATGGCAGGCTGTTAATGAAGACTCGGCTACCTACAAGGTCCAAATGTGCCAAAAAGCTGCTGAGACCTTTCTCAAAACTTCTTATATAATGGAAGCAGACCACATCCCTAAGGCAGCTACTTAGCTGCTCTAGTAGATTCCACCATGGAGGTGATTACCAATCTCATCATGGGGAATAACTATACCCAGCTGCCCAGCCACTTAAAACCAGGCCCAGCCAAGTTGACACATAAACTTAACCAGCACAGTTGGTACCTAACCTCACCCTGAGGCCTCTGCCCTCAAACTCAATTAAACTCACTGCCCATCAAATTGATTGTAACTCATAATGACCATACAGGACAGAATAGAAATGCACCACAGGGTTTCCTAGGCTGAAATTTTTATGGAAGCAGGCTGTCACAATTTTCTTCCACAGAGTGGCTGGTGGGTTCGAGCTTTGGATCTCTGGGTTAGCAGCCAAGTGCTTTAACTACTGTATCACCAGGGTTCCCTCTCTTTGCATTACGAAGGACTAATTGATAATGACTATTCAGTTCTGATAAAATGAATGTGAGATTAATCCTTTATGTGTGAAAGAGCCAATGGCTAGAAGAGCCAGGGGTTCGCCTGAAGTGCAGTGAATTACTTAATATTGCCCTTCAATCCTTAGTCTTTGTGAGTCCCACCAAATGACTGGGTGAGTGTGATAGTTGGAGCTATGTGTCAACTTGACTGGACCATAATTCTGTGTGGTTTAAGCAGTTGTGATGGGATTGGATGTATATGTTTTGAACAGTCAGTCTGCTGAAAGGGAGTTTCCCTAGGGGTGTGGTCTGCTTCCAATATATTTATGAACATCCTGGGAAAAGAGACACTCTTCTGTGGATCGGGATCCTATTGTGCTGCCTACAACTGTCTGTGAGCAAACAATCCACCATTCGGCCTGGTGATCTTGGATTCATCATTCATTGGAGTCAACAGCCAGTATACTGCCTGCCAACCTTGAGTTCGTCAGCCCCTGCAGCTGCATGAGTCGGGAAAAGCCTCCAGCTTGATGTTTGATCCAAGAACTTGGGACTTGCCAGCTTCTATAACTGTGTGAGCCATTTTCCTAAGATAAATTTCTCTTTCTCTATATGTATATATAAGCTTTACTGGTTTGCTTCTCTAGAAAACCTAACCTAACACAGTGGGACTATCCAAATTAAGTGTTATAGCCCACCAAGGGGATTATATAGCTTGCTGATAATGTAAATAAGGTGCAAGGTAAGCTTGTGGGGGTGGAACCATGCAAATAAGGTGTACAGAATTATAATAAGGGGATTGAATAGTTTTGTCATCCCACTAGGCTGAAAATGAGCCATCTGAGAGATAGAAAAGGAAACTACTACCACCAAGAAGCGATGGAAGTGAAATGCATCCTTTGGATTCAGGATCCCTGCACTGAGAACCTCCTAGACCAAGGAGACAGAGAGAGAAAGAGAGAGAGAGAAAAATAGAGAGAGACAGAGAGTGAGCTCCAACACTGGAGATAGCGAGAGACAGCAGCAACAGAGGCAGCAGAACCAGAAGACCAACAGAAGATGACGCAGTGGGCTTCCTGGCCTACAGAGCGAGAAAGCTGAGCACCTCTGGGCAAGAGGCTTGCTGGTGGAGAAACTAAAGAGCTTTATAACACTTGCTTGATCAGAGCAGAAGGTGAGAGGCTATGGGGCTAAGAGACCAAGGACTGGAGAGAGGTGTACCTGTAGGCACAACTATCCTGATCAAATAACTATATCCTGAGTCATTTCTGATCCTGAATTGTAACCTTTATTTCTGTAATAAACCTTGTAATAGTGAGTATTGTCTATGAGTTGTGTGTGGCCATTGCAATGAATTATCAAACCCAGTGGAGAAGCAGAGAGTGCCGTGGGAGGGACAGTTTGGTAAAAAGGTTGGAGAGGAGGCATGCCTGACTTTCACCTCATAGGAATCAGCCTTGGGCTGTTGATGTTGATAATGATCTTCCTCCCCCTCTTGTGAAGTTAGAGGTCAGACACCTGGGCCATGCTGTTTTTCACAAGGGGCATAATTCCATGTGGCCAAAATACAGGATGCTCTCCATGGAAGATAAGGCTGGAATGACACAGTGGAGACCAGATTGTG